CCGCTCCACATGCACTCCTCACCTTAGTATTTTACTTCAGCACTGCGCCTCCTCTGAGCCTCGGTATGCTTTTCTCTTTCCTCCTAGTTGTAGAACTTCCACTCAGCCAGCCTTCCTGTGGTTCTGGATGATGTCCGTTCCGTCTTTTAGTTGTATTTTTGAAGTGGTTGTTCGAGGCAGCAAACTCCCGTGTTTACCTATGCCGCCATCTTGGTTTCTCCTCCCATAGAGTTGTTAAGTGTGAAGCCCTAAACCTTCAAAACCAACCCATCCCCAAATTAACTTCTCACCATACTCACCCAAAGCCCAGTAGGAAGTCTAGAGAAGGTATTAGAAGGGCAGTGTGTGCTGGCATGCTGAACCTTTGGCCCTCTTGTTGCTGGGCAGTGAAAGGGATTCTGCACTTTTCTGGGTAGTCAGAAGTGGGTTGAGGTTGCAGGAATAGCTTAAGGATGAAAGGGAGGGCTTCTGTTAATTTCAGTAGCACTTGCCAAACCTTGATGTATTCTGCCTTCAGAAAACATTTTAAACCGGCTTTTCAAGTGTGAGTATTATTGTGGGCCCAGCTGTCAACACGTCAAAACCGATGTGATGGCCTATAATTCTTCAGTCCTTTATGATGAACCCTTAGGGTTATGACATTACATCTACCGTTTGCTAGGCAGGGATTGATTTTTCTGACTGACAGGAAACAGTTTATTGTGGCCCAGGTCACCTGAGCCCAGACAGCTGACAGAGCAGCTTTGAGGTGTCAGTGTGCTGAGATGAAGAACTTAGCTTCCTTCATTTGGGTTTTAGTGAGAATGTGTTTATTGGGAGCAAAAATATGGCTAACCTTTGCAAGGGTAAAGAAAATATATCTTGGTACAGTCTTCTCCTTTTATGTCAAGAAAGACTCAAAACTTTGTTAGATTTAACCTCCCTTCATATGCCCCTATAACATTGTAAAATATAAAATGCTCTTTTTTTCTGAACTAGCATTTATTTCTAGCATATGTGGATGCCTATGAGAATTTATTGGGGAAATTTGTTTTCAGTGGCATAGTTTATATAACGTTAGGATTATCAAACTTGGACAGACCCATTACCATTGCATCATCAGAAGTAATGCTTTTAGGTGGAAATTGACGTAACCTTTCAAAATCTATTTACACTTCAACCTCAGTGGTTGAATTTCGATAACTAGATATGTGCCCAGGTTTCTAGGCTCAATGTTATATTAACATGGATTTTGTTTCTTTTTAAATAGGTAGACATCCATGTAGCTTGAAAAGGTCTAATCTATTCTCAAAGAAAAATTTTCCACACTAATTATATAGTTGGACTTCTGTGGGCCATCTCCACTTTTTTTAGATTTTTCTTGAATTATAATGATCAAAATAGCATTTAATTGTTTTAAGGCAAGATTATTGTTTTTGTTGTTGTCTTTTCTAGTAGCCTTGCTGGAACATTTTGTATAATATTCATTTAAGAGATCCTGAGGGCTCCAGGATCTAGAAAGGGCCATTGTGTTTTCATTCTGTGAGGAATTGTGTTGGGTATGGAACTATTTGTCCCCAGAAAATTTGGAAGGAGTCACTTGATTATTAAAGTGAGGAGCTGGAGTTAATTTATTATAAATGGACATAAAGTCAGAATTAGAAGAACTGCTCAACAAATACTTATTGACTGCTTACTAGTATGTGGCATTGCTATAGGCACTTGACCCAGGAGCTTATGTTTTCCTGTAGGGAGTCGGGCATTAGAAAAAAGGATGAATGAACAAATTGATGATAGGTCACTAGAAAAAACAAATTGGGTCAAGAGTAAGTACTGTCATGGGGTGGAGGCATTACTATTAAAGATAGGTTGGTCAAGGAAGCTGTATGGCAATCAACTCAGCAGATACCTGAGGGTTTAGGTTGAGAGAGAAAGTAATATGTGCTCACTGATTACGTGGCTATCTATAGTAGAAATGTTAAAGGTGGAATTGTACTTGGTATATTTGAGGAGTCCAACAAGGAAGCCAGTGTGTCAGTGTGTCAGTGTGTGTGTGTGTGTGTGTGTGTGTGTGTGTGAGAGAGAGAGAGAGAGAGAGAAGAGAGAGAGAAAGAAATGCGATCCTGTAGGGCCTTGTAAGTGATTTTTTAGAAATTTTTGGCTTTTACTGATAAGGAAAAACTGTGGAGTGCTTTGAACAGAGAAATGCCATGGTCTAACTATATTTTAACAAGAGCCATTTGACTACTGAGTGGAGAACAGAGTTTAGGGAAGGTGAGTGTGGAAGTGAGGCCAATTAGAGGGCTTCATGGTAAAATCTAGAGATGGAAAATGTTCATGTGAATAGGTTATTATTGGTGAAGTTGGTACCAGATTGCCAAAACTGGAAGGAGAAGGTTTAATTAGAGGAAGGATACCCAGGAGTTTCATTTTGGGCACATTAAGTTTGAGATGTCTGTTACATATCCAAGTGGAATTGTTGAATAAGCAACTAAACATATAGTTCTGGAGTTTAGGGAAAAAGCCCCAGGTTGGAGACATGAATATGGAAGCCATTATTATAGATGGTATTTAAAGTGATGAGTCTACAGGGCATTATTTGGGAGTCAGTATAGATTGATATAGAAAAGGCAGAAGAATAGATCCTAGAGCACTCCTGCTATAGAAGTTGGTGATACTCCGCATTTATTCAACAAATATTTATTGAGGGTTTTCTGCTCAGATGAGAAGTGAGTAGAAAAGACTGAGAAGGAGCAGGCAGTCATATGAAGAAGTCAAGGGAAGAACATGATTCAAGAAGGAAGGGTGCAAAAGTGATCTGCTCTGTTATGGTACTGAGAAGCGTTAGCCAAGATGAGAATTGAGGTATAGCCATTGAATTGTACAATAGGAGGTCTTTGATGACCCTGACAGTAGTTATTTCCTGGAAGTGGGATGAAAACCTTATTGAAGTGAATTTTGCTGAAGATTGAAAGAGAGAGATGGGATCTGAATATGATGAGGAATAGAGTGAGCATCTAATTTCTCATCTAAGCTGGGACACTGCCAATGGAAGGGGGAGCCACGGGGATATATAAAATAGTTACTCTAGGTCAGTGGTTCTCAACCTGTGGGTCGCCAAATGACCCTTTCACAGCGGTCACCTAAGACCATCGGAAAATATATATATAATTACAGTGGTTCTCAACCTTCCTAATGCCGCGACCCTTTAATACAGTTCCTCATGTTGTGGTGACCCCCAACCATAAAATTATTTTCCTTGCTACTTCATAACTGTAATTTTGCTACTGTTATGAATCGTAATGTAAATATCTGATATGCAGGATGTATTTTCATTGTTACAAATTGAACATAATTAAAGCATAGTGATTAATCACAAAAACAATATGTAATTATATATGTGTTTTCCGATGGTCTTAGGCGACCCCTGTGAAAGGGTCGTTTGACCCCCCAAAGGGGTCACGACCCACAGGTTGAGAACCACTGCTCTAGGTGGTGGGGATGGGGGTGGCAAGAGAGATTTTTGCAGAGAAATACTTGTTTATGTTATGTTTACTTTCTCAGAATCAATTTCTTATATGACTTACCAATTCTTAGTCTATTGGTAATTCAATTATTTAATAGACTTTGGTATGAAATATGTTCAGAGCTTTTTAATAGTTTTGCTTTGTCCACATGAAGTTTATTTCCTCAAAGAATGAATTGACTTGACAGTTTTGATTTCCTAGTGCACACTTAGAAATATCCTCATAAACATAGAAGTTGTGCAATATGAAAATGAAATCCATGCCCTAGAGTTTTCATTATTTAATTGAAGTACTTTCAGGGATGAGAGATTCATAATAATGGTTTTTGGTCCTCTAACAAAATAAGTATTTTATATGTAATGACTGGCATGTTTTTGGCTAATATTGATTTTACTGGAGTTCCCATATTTTTTAAACAGAGATCATAAACCCTTGATAAATTGCTAATGGATTTCAGTCTAACTTTTTATATTGTAAATTGTGCTTCATTTCAGTGTATTTTCACATAAAGTACTGATCTTTAATCTTTTTTTTAAAGTCTCTATCAGTAAAAAGTAAAAAGCAAATCATTTGTTTATAAAAAAATTACAAATAATTTTAGCTATACATATTTTTCACAAAATAGCAATTTAAAAGGTCAAGATAAGGTTGAACAGTATTTTTAAAATAATGTTGCTATTTCCACAATCATTAGTAAATAGTTTAAGATGCCATGTCAGGTTCTCAACTTGGTTACCCATTAGACTCTCTTAATGATGCTTTTACTTAAAAAGTTATGATGCACAGGCTTAATTTGGGAACATTGATCAGAATTTCTAGGGAAGCAGATTGGCTTTTGTCTTTTTTTTTAAATCAATGACTGATACGCAGTGAGGTTGAGATCCACTACTATATATACTTAAGGGTACATTTATCATTTGTGATAATTGATATAATCTAAAGTTCATCCTTCCTTTCCTCTCTCCCTTTTCCCTCCCTCCTTCCACTAAGTTCTTGTCAGTGCTGGCTAGATTGTGTTTGGAGCTTGTTAAAGAAGTACAAGTGATCATTGCTGCCATTTTCCTGTATGATTATGCTTTGACAGAATTTGTACTATCTTTAATATGTGTAGAAAATATTTTCCAATTAGCCATTTTGTGAAGATTTGTTTATTAAAAATCTACAAGTTTACTGGGCACTGGTAAACTGCCAGAGAAGACGCTTACCCAATTGTTTTTATAATAAATTGTTTTTGTAATTAATTCCTTTTTTACAATAAACTTTTTATGATAAATATAGTAATGTGATGGACATATTGAATATGCTAGATACAGTTAATGGTGTCTTTTAAAATTAAGATATGAGAAAAAATAAGAGTATCAGAAATTAGGTGTGGCTGAAATTTAGCTCTATGCAGATAGAAAATCTGGACTAGTAGAGTATGATTCCAGATGCAAATGAGGGCAAAAGAGACTCAGTTTATTTATTTATTTTACTTCTCTTTTTTTTCCATAGGAAATTTGAAATACTGCCTTGTGATATTGAATCAGCCTTTGGACAAAAGTTTTCGTCATCTTTGGAGCAAAGGTAATCTTAATTAGTGTGTATATTTCTTTGTTTTCTTACTGTATTTGGGATTGAATAACATTGACTGTCAAATATTCTTGAAACTAAATACTGTTTAATAACAAAAAGTGGATTCATAATGTGATTTAATTATTGATTTATCAGAAAGTCCCTTATTGCTTCTCTGTTAACTTATTTATATACTAGTAGCCCTGCACACGAATCCGTGCGCCAGTAGCTCGCCAGTAGCTTGCTGCTGCCCTCCAGTAGCTCTCCACCTGCTGCCCCGCCCCCCCATAGCTTGCTGCCCTGCCACCTCCTGTAGCTCTCCACCACCACTTGTAGCTTGCTGCCCCACCCTCCTGCTGATCTGTGATCAGGTCATTACGCGGTCGGTTGTTACGCTTCACGGTGTAACGACTATTTGCATATTACATCTTTATTATATAGGATGTGATTTCTTACCATGGGACCCCCAAGAGTAGAATTACAAAGTAGTTTCATTCAATGTATTTCAGCACTACTGTGTGGATGTTAATCCTGAGTTCTCAACAACTATTTATTCAAGTATAAACAAATATTTTTGGCACAGTGACAGCAAAAAGTATCCACAAAGCTCATTCTTCCCAGCTTCCAATAATGTTATCCATTTTGCAAAATAAAAAATGAAGACATGTTACTAGTATATTAGAATCTGTAGGGATGCTGAAAAATATAGTTAAAAATAAAATAGTTTCACATAATTAATACTTCTATGAGGTTTCATGTAAGAAACTGGCTTTATTGACTTTTTTTAATTTAACTTTTATAGCATTAACTCTAGGGTAGAAAATAATATTAAATATCATTTGCTGTTTTGAATCTCTACTTTTCCATGAAATCTTGAGTTGTTTTTTATTTTGATTTTCAAAGGGATACTTCTGATAAATTATCAGTGTAAGTTTTTAGCCAAATTATAGATATACTGAATAATTTGATCGTTAATATATTGATATTGATGCATATTCTTGATCCTCTTTTATATTTGCAAAATTCTTTAGTATTCTCAACAGTATGGTTATGTGTTTCAGAATGCAAACCTATTGTTAATAAGCTTAATCTGTGGACAGAGGTAGTTGTGATACTAGGGGGAATAAATTATTACAAATTTTGTATAATAAATTTTCTTGTCCAATGTGATTATAATGAAAACTCTTGGTGTTCTAAATTTAGCCATCTTTCAGTTAGTCAACAAAAATTTTCACATTGTATTTGTACTAACATTACCCTCAAAGTTGGAAAATTATTTAGCCCTATCCGGTTTGGCTCAGTGGCTAGAGTATCCCAGGTTCGATTCCAGTCCAGGGCACATGCCTGGGTTTCAGTAGGAGGCATGCAGGAGGTAGCCATTCAGTGATTCTCTCTCATCATTGTTACTTCTATCTCTTTCTCCCTCTCCCTTCCTCTCTGAAATCAATAAAAATATATATATTTTTAAAAGTTGGAAAATTATTTAACTACTAGAGGCCCAGTGCATGACATTCGTGCACTGGGGTAGGGGGTTCCTCAGCCAGGCCTGAGTCCTCTCCCAATCCGGGACCCCTTGGGGGATGTCCGCCTGCTGGCTTAGGCCCGCTCCGCACCTGAGGGGTCCTTAGCACTGCTGCAGAGGTGGGAGAGTCTCCCACTACCGCCACTGCGCTCGCCAGCAGTGAGCCCAGCTTCAGGCTGAGTGGTGCTCCCCCTGTGGAAGCTCATTGACCACTAGGGAACAGCTTCTGCATTGAGCATCTGCCCCTGGTGGTCAGTGTGTGTCATAGTGATTGGTTGTTCTGCCATGCAGTCAAATTGAATACTAGGGTTTTATTATATAGGATGATTTATCTTTCACTGTACTTACTTGTAATTAGGTAGTTATTTGGGTGCTGTAAGGGTGTGTAGTCTTTTTTGTCACTTTATCTCTAGTGCCTAGTCTCTTCTTGGTGCATAATTGCTTACTAATTACATTCAATGACAGAGTGCATTTAATATGTTCCTATTGCTAATAAATACCAAAGTACTGTAAGTACGTTCTTTTTATCTGAACTTATTATATCAGGGTCTATTACATTTTCAGGAAAGTGTGTGAACAACTTTATTTTATTACAAACGTTAGAAATAGATAAAATAATCATTGATAGGATCTGTTGGAAACCTTAGAGAATAAAAGCTACATCTTAAGAAGTCTCATATTTGGGGGGTGTGAAGGGTCCTATTTTGCACAAGGTATGAAATGATATAGATTTTTGAACTAACTGAAGTTCCTCATTTCCTTAATTTTTCTGTAGAGAATTTGATTTGAAAAATTCCCGTGCCTGATGGATACCAACTAGTCATTTGATTTGCATAAAAAATGATCACTTGGTCAATCTACAAGGTGTCCCCCCAAAATGTGTACACACATTGAATATTTATAAAGTCAGTGTTAATTAACATATAGTTCATTTTCAAAATTTAAAAGAATTTACAGAAATGAATAACTTTTTTCATTAATGCCTGTTTTCAAACTGATGACCATTTTGGTCCAGGCATTGCTGATAATGCAAAGCAATGGAATCACAAATATGAAGAATCATTTCATTCAGTATATGTGTGCCCTCAACTGTTGCCAGTTTTGTACTGTAAACTTTATCTTTTATGTATTTCCATTAAAAAAATGTCTAGTGGCACTTTAAGATAAATTTTCTTTGTTCAAAGCTTAGTGTGGCTTCACCCATTATTTCAAATCAGTTAAACCTGAAAAGGAGTGAAAATCAAGTGAGTTATCAACTGTTAAAATGTGTATACATTTTTTTGGGACACCCTATGTATACATGGAGAGAAGGAAAGGTAAGATATCAGATGGGCTGAAATGATTATATAATTCTTATTTCCAAAAGAACTTTTCTTTACGTTATTGAAATGTTAAGTGCTTTCATATAGACCTCTAGGATAATTCTTGGCTTCATCATTGTAAAAAGCAGATCTGTTAATAAATACTAAGGAAAAGTGGAATAGAATTTTTGTGATTCTCATAACAGAAGCTGTGATGTTATGTTTGTGTTGCTCCTCTTCTTAGCAAAGGTATTTCTTTCATTTCTTCCAAGAGAGGCCTAGAACAAGTATGTGATGGCTTTGTGGTTTGGGATTTCAGCAAGTAAGTGAAGGCTGGAGGCTGCCATGCCGGTCCCTCTAGCTCAGACGTGCAATGTTTTTTTTGTACCTTCTGTTCCATGGACGTGAAGACTGTGAAGAGCAGACAACAGGGGTAAAAGCAGGGCTGTTAAACCAAAACACAGAAAATTTTGAAGGCTACTGCACAGTATAAGTCTCTCATATTTACAATCGATGATTTAACTTGAACTATGCCAACGACTCTGTTGAGTAGGTATTTCCTGGGATCTGTTTCAGGAGAAAGACTACTTGAAGGTTTATTTTATTTTAGTTTCTTCCTACAATGCTTAATTGACATGTTTTGAAATTTAGTTTAAATGGGATTCAAGGGAGATTAAAATTATGAAAGTTTTTAAATGTATTTTCTCTTTAATATTTCATGAAGTCTCAGTGATTTTCTTGGTGTGATCATTGGTATTTGTGAATGGATATTGCCCTTAGATTTCTTACCTATTTTTTTTAACAAAAAGCTTTCACTTCCAGTAAATGTCTTTCTTACCCTGAAATATGTGATAAGTGGAAAAAATAGGGATGTTTATGTTTGAATAGCTCTGCTTATTTCTTGTTGTAGGTCAGTTTTTCTCAGCTTGGGGTCACCAGGCTTACCCGGGTCCTCAAAGACAGTGGGAGAGATCACAAAGTTACATAAAGTTGAAATACAAAAAAAGAAATATGAATCCTAACAGATATTCATTTACCTGGGCTAAGGTTACATGGACTGACCAGGTTTCTAGGAGTTGGGCTTCTCAGTGTATCCTCATTTTTTAACTTTAATTCACAGCCTTTCCCTGTCTCTTCCACAGGATTCGAAGAACAGCGGTGACCATGTTCATTAGATTATGACTCCATTATCAAATTATGTTAATGTTAATGACAGGTGTTTGTCTTCAGTGTGACCCTTTTTACCTCTAATAAGGAATTATTTTTCCTTGCTTGATTTCTTCCTTTTTCAGTTCTCTGGTAACCAACTGTAAGATCACACCAGGGTATAGGCAACATACTCTGGTTCCCTTTGGATGAGGCTTAAGTCATAAAATATTGGACCAATCAAGCAGGTTTTACAGTAAAAGGGAGACATCTGTCACAGTTCATGAAATGAAATATAAGCAAGGTCTTTAGTTTTATAATATCAGTTTTCCCTTCTGTTCTGTTTGTAATTGATGGATACCTGTCAGCGCCCTTCTGTGTTGAGGGGGTAGGTGAGCAGCTGGGGACATAACTGTGGCCTCGAGTTATGGCCAGAATTTAGAGTTCAGAGTGCCCAGCGCAGCCTGTTTCTGATGAAGGCATGAGATGTGGTTCTTCAAGCTAGAAGTCCCTAGAATGAACTTGCTCTATTCCTGCTTCTTAATAGCTGAACTTATTGTGTGTAGTATTTGATTATTCGAATCTACTTTGCTCACCTCTATATGTTTTTTTTTCTTTAAACAAAAACACTGTACCCAAATAAAGCTTTTTAATAGGATTATGACTTGCCCCATTAATTAGACTGCTCTCATGTAACGATAGTGTTGCCATCAGATTTAAGTTTTAAATGGAGCAATCTGCTGTAAAGAAGCTTGCTTCAATAGTTTGGTTGTGCGTCCTTTTCCCTCATACACTGTGTACCTAGGTCTCTGTAAGCCTTTTTTTAAACTGATTTTTTGAAGTTAAGCTCAATCAAAGTTAGCAAGTTTATATTGAAGAAAGTTGTTTTATGTTTCTATTTTTATTCCCATTTCTCAATTCTGTGAGACCTCTTTACCTCACTTCTGGCATCCAGTATGTTTATTCTCATTAAAATAAGAGAAACTGGGTACCTTCCATTTTTATGTATATATTGGTTGAGTTGATTTGGCCTGCTTTAGAAT